AAATATCCAATTTTATCTAGTGACGAAAGCAATGAACAGTTGCCGAGTTGGTGACACTTGTGTCTCTCATGCTTAAGGTACGGGTTCAAGTCAGTCTGTGGCAATTATTATTTTTTTTTTTTTTGAGTTAGAATAAAATTTTCAAATCATTTGATATTTATCTCATTTAGATTCAATAATTTCAATAAATATAAAGGATCCTATCACTATAGTCTCCCCTCGTGAAAAGAAATTTATATTCATGTTAATATTATTTTACTATGTAGTTTTTTTTTATGGCTACGAGTTATTTTGTCAACCCTCACTAGACCTACTTTTTTCAATGATACGTCAAATTATTACAATTCGTATTTAGTTTAAGTTATTACTTTTAAAAATCGAAAAAATATTCCTTATTCAAATAAAAAGTAGCTTAACCAGCTTTTTCCATACAAACAATTAAAATCATTAATTTCTAATATTCTTAAAGTATTTATTGTCGAATTAGATTTGATATGATAAAAGTATTCAACTACAAAAGTAAATAATTTTACTTTGTAATTTATTAATTTTTTAACTCTATTTGTGTGTGCTACTACCAGTCTATAATATTCCGAATTTGTTTGTAATATGTTGCTATATAAATCATAAATTAAAAAAAAAAATGATTTTTAGTTTCACCTGAATTTAACAATGGATTTTTACAATTATAATCAAATTTTATAATACGCTCAATTGAGTGAATCTTTTAAACAACTTTTTTTTATTGGTTTTTTTAGATATATAATCATTAAAATTAATTAAATTCTGAATATTTCCATTGTAGAATCTTTTTAAACGCCAAAAGTTAATTAGATATGATTACTATGATTTTTATTTATGTGATCTATTACGATAAAAATGTAAAAAAATCATTTTTTTCTTTTTAAAAATGTCAATTTCAAACTTGCAAGTTAAGCTAAATGTTATGGTAATAAATTCATTTTTTTTTTTTATTAAAACTTTCACTTTAAAGGACAATAAAAAGTAGGTTTAAAATGATTACTTTTAACATTTTAAAAATCAAAATCAATAATAATTTGAAAACAATTAATTTTAAAAATTATATAATATATAATTAAAAGAATTACTAATCTGGGTATAATTAAGAAAATATAAGTTGATGTTGCTTTTGTAATTATCCATCNTAATTATGGGTTTTGTATTTTATTTTAATAGAAGTTGATGTTGCTTTTGCAATTATCCATCAATTTTTTAAAATTAAACACTATCTACAGATTTGCATCGAAGCGTTTCTTATGATAGTGATTTTAATCACTGTCAGATTAAATCTATACTGGACCCAACTATGCAACGTCTCCACTATGCCGTGACCCCACTGTTCTGGTTTTTTTTTTGATTAATTATTTCATCAAAAATAACTCAGTAAGTAATCATAAAAAATCAAATCTTTTCCATAACACAAATAAACTTCATGAAGTTAGTAAAGATCAAACCACGTGTATTATAGTTGACTTAATCTTAATAAATTATTCAAAAAAATTTAGCACTTTTGACAATTTTCTACGTCATTGAAATTTAATAACATATAAAGAGTTATTAATTTTATTATTTTGATTACTTGCGTTTTTTGTGTTCTTTATTAATATTTATTTCTTGACTTACAAGTGGTTGAATATATTTTAGGAACATTCCTTATGATACAAGTAGTACCAACATTTTTTTTTAGAACAGGCATATTTTACCAAAAAAAACCAATACAGTGGGGACGTGGAATAGTTGGGTCAAGTTTAATGATATCTGACAGTGATTAAAATAACTATCATAAAAAACGCTTCGATGCAAATCTGTAGATAGTGTTTAATTTCTAAAAATTGGTAAACTATTCCAAAAGCTACAAGATCTCCTATTTCCTTATTTATATCCTGATTACAAGTTTTATGATTTATAAATGTAATATATGAATAAATATGTAAAGGGAAATGTTTTTATTTAAAGAAAATTATGTCAATTGAAAGAAGTATATAAATAGTATTTATCATAAAAAAATTGTATTGATACAGAACGATTTTTTCAATTTTTGATGGTAGTGTCTTCGACTAGATACGATTTGTGATCTTTTGACGTATCGTTGAAAGAAATCCGTTCGGTGAGAGCTGAGAAAAAGTGGTAACAGACACAAAAAAATAAAAATAAAAAAAACATATCATAAAAAAAAAATACCTTCTCAGCTTCGCATCGAAGCTAAAATGTACAAAAAATATTATTATTATTTTAAAGAACAATCTAGCAATTAATCATTAATGATAAATCAGATACTCTATATATGGTAGACAATCTAAAAATTACAAGTAAATAAAGTTTTAGAATTTCTTATTAGGTGAATCAATTTAAACTGCAAATTTAATAAAAATATATTGATAAATTATTTGAACCAAATTATACAAAAGAAATATTTTGATTTGCTTTATTCTCAACTATACCAGAAGTTTTAATAAGTGGAAAATCGTTAAAATATATTATTGAAGTATTGAATTTCCCATAAATTTTTATTTTATAAAAGATCTCAACAAAAACAAAAAGTTTAGTATTAGTTGAATATTTTATATGCATTTTAATTTACCATTCAGATTAGTATGACTTTGAGAAGTTCTATTTATTTTTATTCAATCACTAAATAAAAGTCTAGGGGATTTTTCACCACAAATGGTTACGGAAGAAGATTTAAACGAATTACACAAAAGCTATTACATCGTATCATATGTTAATAAATACGAAATAAATATTTTATTAGATTTCCAATTGAAACTGACGGCTACAGTACGACATTTGTTTTAGTTTTACTTTTGTAAAAAAAAAAAAACAAATCTCTTTATCTATTGACTGAAAACATTCACCTGTGGTGACATTTGAATGAATAAAATGCAAAAGTTTGCTATAATATGACAGACAAAGGTTTATGTTAATACTTTCAACAAAGAAAGAAAAAAGTAAATTTGTCATGTTGACAAGTTAAATTTCATAAATTTGATGAAAAAAGGATTCAATTGAAATAGCGACTCCTTATAAGTAAGACGTCAATATTGGAACTAGCTCGTTAGGCTTACTTATTAATATAAACGAGAGAAAACAACAAAGCTTTTTTTTGTATAACTATGAATTATTTTTAATATAATCTGCAATACTTATGATAACATTAAATTAATCCATAATTTAACATTTTTATACTAAATAATTTTGTATAAATTAACTATTGAAACGCCGTAATTTTATTTATAATTAGAAACCTTTATTTAAATTTCAAACATTAATCGCTTTATATTGAACTCTTAATCAAGACTATCTATTAATAAAAATTCAACTTTTTACTAGATAGCTATCATTTTATTCAATTTTACTTGAAAATTTTAAATATTTGAACTATTTCACCATAAACATAAATCGTTTTTATTTTTATGAGTAATATGAGCAATAATGAAGAGCATAACATTTTTACCTTCCCTAAATTGAAGTTCATACAATACATATTGAAATTTCGATTTCAAGTATCAATTGTAATCCTCATACAACAACCATATCATCTTACCAATAAACATTTACATTTCTTATCTTTTTAAGTTGAATAATGTGTTACTTTTGAGATCAGAAAACATGAGTTTACGACAGTTAAATTTATATAGGAACTTTATTGATAAGTTGAGAATGTTTATTAGTACTTGCTATTAAATTACAATTTTGCTATTATAAATTTTCGTTTAAGAAAAATTAACATTTAAATTTAAATTATACTGAATCTTAATAAAATTACAATGCATTTTAACACTAAATTTACATCTTTACAAAATTTAATATTGATTATTCTCGTTGTAAGTATTTGATTATAACAGATAAAAAACCAGAAAGTGAAGAAATTATGACGAGGAAAATTATATCGTACATGAAATGTAATATAATTCGATGGACTCATGAATAATTTGTTTACGATGAGAGAATAGACCCATATCCCACGTGTTTTTCTTCCTCTGTTATACAATTTTCCCAAATGACAAAAACCAGCCAAAATGTAATACATGCATAATCAGATCAGTACTATTGATATATTAAATAAAACATCAAAATTACGTAATAATTTTTGCAAATTTTACACATATTGTATTTAAGCAATTTCAAAATAAACAACTTATATGATAAGGTTTAAACAAATAAGCTAATGAATTTCTAGTATTTTGACTACATCACTTAACATGAACTTGACGAAAACTTTTTATCCTGTTATACTGCCTTAAAACACATATTGTAGTTATAATTTATTTCCATTTTACTTAATGAAAGTGAATATTTTGTTAATTAGTCATTAATTATAACTTATAATTTTCTGTTGTGCCTGTTGAAATATTGTAAAATTTACTTACATAATTGAAAACAAAAAGAATCCAGAGTACACTTAAAAGGCTTCAACCAAAAATAATTTACAATTTTCTAATCAAAACCATATTTAGCAATTATTTTATCGGTAAATTTGGACCAGACTTATCACTAAATGAAATTTAAAAATAGACTATAGATGCAGCAAAAATTGCTGTTCTTACGACATCAACTAGATAGAATTAATTAAATTTTTTTTTAATCAAAGCGCAACACCTCACATCTCAAATGAGTTAAAGTTTAATAAATTTTTATTTTTTTAATAATTATTTTATTTTTTATGGATAAATCACTAAATATTACAGTTAGTTAGTTAGTCATACATGCTGTATGACTAACTAAGCCTCAAGCAATATCTTAAAAAATACATAATAATATATTATTTGTACTTTTCAATATCTTTTAAAGTTTTACATATTACTAGTTAAAGAAAAAAAATATTTCTACCATTTTCTTTACGATTTGTATTTTAACATCTCTAAATAAAAAAAAAATATTTTCATCATGAAGTTATACTCTTTTTAGGAACTTATAATTGTCTATAAATATGTCACTGATTAAATAACACAATAATATTTTAATTAAAAGTTATTTACCTATCAATTGATATGGCCATCAACGTGAATACACTTGCAAAAATGGATACAACAGCTACAAATTGACTGATCTTGCAATAGATAGTACCAAATAGCCAGTTACTAGTTAGCATGTAACTGAAATTTACGGTAACGTTTAAAGATGATCCCATTGCATCAGCTATGGAAAGATTGACTAAAAAATAATTGGTAACATTTCGCATTCGTTTGTTGGTCATGACTATCCAAATTACAATTAGATTTCCACCGGTGGCTACCACAATCATTGGGACAAATAATACTGTCCATGCCAATTGATGCCACCACGATAACTCAAATTGATTGCTATCCACTGAATAGATATCAGAAAAATTTCCAAATCCTGTATAATTATCTATTACATAATCCATCGATTGAGACCTGTAACAAAAAAAAAAACAGCTAGAATAATATTATTGATACAAAATGAAAAGCTTAATTTTTCATAATTTAAAAATAAAAATTGTGTTGTACAAAAAAATTTGAGCAACTTTATTAACTATTGGTATAATGATATACAATAAAGTATTGTTTGGTTAGCACAACTTTTTGCATTGATAATTTTAAATATATATGCTACATAAGCATTAAAATTATTTTAGGTAAATTTGTAAGAAAAAATCAGACTATTTTACTTTTCTTAAAATAGACAAATTATTTAAAATTAAATAACAAATTAATTATTATATCGTTTTATTCTTACAAGAGATCAACATAATATTAATTGCAGCAGTCTTAAAATTATTTTAATATTTTTTTTTTAAACCTTAAATTAAATATATAATAAAAATTGATCTCTTGTGGCAAATATTATTTAAAATTAAAATTATATTACTTTAAATTAAAAAATATTAAAAACATTAAATAATATATATAAATTGATTATTTATTTTTCTATATATATTATATATATATATAGAAAAATTAAGCATAAGTTTTGCATACAGATTAACAACTTTCTAGAATAGAAATAACAACATGTATTTTAACTTTAACACAATAAAATTTAGAAATAAAATGTTTAACATTTTAACTATTACTAATTTCATTGAGAAAGGAGAAACTGTAGTAAAAGAGAGGAACTATCTAACAACTCTTATGAAAACCACACACAGACAACCACAAGAATACAAACTTAATAGTTTTTTGTTGTTTTTAGATTGACCCAATAATAATATTACAATTAAAAAAATATGGTAGGTATTGCTCCTTATAAAATCGTGGTATCGAAACTAAAAGGTTCTGTGACAACATTTCATAATTTTTCAGAAGAGCGTTTTTATGGATTCCACGCGCACAATTTTTTGATCAGCCATAATTTTTATTTTAAAAGCATATATATGTACAATTTAAATATTATAGCCATCAAAACAAAATTGAGTCTGTGAAAAATAAAAGAATCTAGAATTTTGCTTACAGTACAATAATGTAATAATATATAGAACATTTTGGTTCTTAATATTATTTGTTTTTAATAAATAGAACTTTTTAGTTAAAAAAAATTAATAAAAATGTTATGTTTAGACAACCATATTTTTGTTTAAAAAATAAAAATATCAGATACGTACAGTTAAATACTCAATTAATTAAATAACAGCTTATTCATGGAGAAAGAGTAGGGGTTGGTCCAGTGACATATCTACATCGGAAATGGGAGTATGTGGTGTTTCCTTCTATACGATGACTTATAATGTTATGTGTGAAAATACCCATTACTAATTTGCACTATTATTAATTATATAACAGTTTATTTTAAGTATTCGTTAATTATCTTCTTATTATAATTAAGTGTGCTGAATAAAAAGTTTAGGTAGAATTAATCGAATATTTTTTAAAACCATTCGATAGCTCATTTGAATAGTTTATGCTAAAAATAAACTATTCAGTTGCATAAAAACAATTTTAATAGTTATTCTATAGTTTTAAAAATCTATCGAATTCTATTCCATAATATAAAATATTCGAAAATGACCATCACTATTAATAATCATGACATTTTGGGATATAATAGTTTTATTTAATTGTTTTATCTATTTGAATAAAGCATGAATCAAAATAAAATTTTCTGTGGTAATATTTAAGATGAGTACTCTACATATTTTTTTGCAATTTCTATAATTAACCAAAGTACTGGAAGAAAGCAAATTATAATATCAAATTTTTTATTTATTTTTATAATGGGTTAAAAACCTAATTTCTTATAACCTATATCAAATTAAAACTTATGTAATGCACAATAAAATGTAAAAAAAACTATTCGAAAAATTAATTTTTATGAGTTATTATAAAATTAGTCCAAAAATAGGCGAATTCATATTTTTTTGCATTGCAAGAAAATATCCATATCATTCAAAACTTAATCAAATTTAAAGTTTTTATGAGTACTATACGATTAAAAAATTAAAGACTTTCTGATGACTTTTCTTCTATGAGTAACCATCTTCTAAAGTTGAAAATTAAAATTTAGAAATTGTTTAAATTTGTTTCAAATACGTTGAGTTTTACGACAGTCATTTTAATTAATATCAGATAACACTCAACCAAGTAAAAAAAATTTCTAGATTTCTACTGTACTTAAATTTTTCTAAATACTAACTTATTTATAATAAATTTACTAAATTAAAACTTCAAGTGTGAAAAATTCGATAAATTATAAACACATAAGTGGAACACTAGTAATTCATTTTTAAATTGATCTCTTGCAATCGATTTTATATACATTTTATATATTGTATTTTAATAGCTACAACTCGATTTTTGATAACAATAAATAAATTGAAAAACGATGATGGCTTTTTAATTACTTATAGAAATAATTTTTAAAAAATGAACAAACTAGCTTCTTTTGTTCTACTTTGAACACAAATTATTCTAAAACATAAAAGTAACATATTAAGACAATCAGATTTAGGATTTTTTAATTAAATTTTTATATTAAAAATAAAAATTTCATCAAAATATATGTGTATTACCTCAATATGTATTATCTGCAAATATTTTAGTTTGATTTTACTAACTAATGACATTTCATTTATTACTTTTTAATTTTCTTTACAAAATTTCAAAGGATAATTTTTTAAAAGCTATATATATGTAATAAAATCTTATTATGTAAATAACATGGTTTTTAGTAAGCTTTATTAAATAACTTTTAAAAATAAAAGAAATCTTTTATATAAGCTTTATTATTGAACAATAATAACTATGTGAACCGTGAAACTTATGCGATTAAATAATTGAATTGTTCATTACTTTGAACAGATGATTTATAATGATTAAATTATTAATAATTATATGACTATTATTAATCAATAATATTAAATTGACTACTTTAACGCCAGTTAATTTTTTTTATATATGACATTTTTTGTGTTATTCGCATAGAATTTATAAAAGATTATTAGTACATATTTGTAGTATGTAAGCGATATTTTTTAAAACTACTCATATCTTTTTCAGTAAAAAATTAATAATATTCAATGGAATTATCAAAATTATTTGTAGGTGAGTAAAATTAAAATTGTAAAAATGAATGAATGTTTAATTGAACATTTTATTTAAAGTTGAATATATTAAAAATAACATGCCTAACTAAGGCTAACGAGCTTTATGTTTTGTGTAAAAAAAAGTATTTTTCATTTTAACTGCTATTTCTCGTTTTATAGTGTAAAATATATGTGTGTTTGATTATAATTTAATAACTACGAGTAATTAATAGCTACACCATTTTAAGTACTTTAGGTGAAATAAGGGTCATTAACTGTTAAATGGAAACTATATTCTGGTCATATTGCATATTATTTGTTTAATTCAATAAATTACATGTAAATAAAACCTTTTTTCTCATTCCCATGTTTAATTGATTTATATATATAAATAAATAAACACAACAATGATAAAAAAGTAAATTATACCATTTGACGCTATAAATTAAACAAAATGTGCATAGGATCTATTATATAATATTATTTTATTATAAAGAATGTTCATCTATATTTTATTGTATAAAAAATAATCGTTTTTGAGAATAATAAATTTTAAACCTGAACAATCTATGAAATATTTTCATCTAATATTGATCACTATTATTTTGTATAATTAAAACAACAATAATTTTATAATGATAAATTATGAATTTGAATTATACCCATACAAATAATCAATGATAAATAGACTCATAGTTGTAAAAATACATTTGTTAGAACAATAACAGTATGATTATTTTTTAAATACTATTTGTTGCTAAACGTAGTACTGAATGAATAATTTTGGGTTCAATTTATAATGAATGTATAAATTATACATATAGTATTGCTCAAATATACATAGTGGTTAATTTGATTCTAGCTACTCGATTTCTCTTAAAATATTAATTATGTTAAGAAAATTATTGCGCTAAAGACCCTCTGTTGTTATACAGGGTGTTCAGTATGTAAGGAAACAGTTTTCCATTATTCTCATTGTTTGTAACAATTGACCTGTTTTCTTACTTTTTAAACAACTCTATATTATGTTTAGGTTGGGTTATAATGTGTAATAGTATATGATGTCACAATTATTGTAATAACTTAGATATAGTGATTAATTATTAACCATAGAATTTCAATAATATTATATGTATATTATAATATAATATATATATATTTTATATGTTGAAACATTAACTGGTAGAAGTACTGAATTAGTAGAATTATTGAAGAGGAGAAAAGATAATACTTGTTATATGCAGAAAAACTAAGTGAAAGAGAGAGAAAGCAAGAAAATAGGTGAGGATTATAAAATTATATACTCAGGTAAGATCAATATAAAGAATAGTGTAGAGAAAATAATATATGAGGAGATGCAAAGTAAAGTACTAGATTTCATTATGAAAAGTGATAGACTTATAGTCTCAAAATTAATTTTTGAAGAAAAAAATGTTGAATGTAGTAAGTGCCTATGCACTACAAGTTGGATGTAATGAATTAGACAAGGAATTGTGTTAAGGAGAGATGGACTGTATGCAAAGAATACTTGTTAATGAAGTTGCGATGATAGGTGGAGATATGAATGGATTTGGTAATGAGAGTCAATGATAAAAAAGATTACAAGGAAAGTATGGTTTTATTGGGAAGAATGAGACTGGTAAAAAAATCCTAGATTTAAAAGTATAGTATGATCTTGCTGTGGTTAATACTTATTTTAAAAAGAAGGAAGAACATATAACTTATAAGAGCGGTAGAATAAAAGATCACAAATTGATTATTTTACGTGGCAAGAAACCGTGTAGCGAGTAAAAGATTGTTAAGTTATCCCAGAAAAGATTATAACTACATAACATAGTCTGATGGTAATGGACTTGTGATAAAGTGGGAAAAGAGTATGCAAAAATAGAAAGCACGCAGGAGAAGAATCGAGTATCTGTTGATGGAAATTGATAGGGAAAAAGATTAAAGTTTATAAATTAGGGAATAGAGAAGACCTGTGGAATATCGAGGAAGACATAGATAATGGGTGGAATAGATTTGCTAGTTATGTAAAGAATACTGCAAAGGAGATTTTTGGTAAGAGTAAATGAGAATATAGGGAGGAAATTAATCAAAGACTAGAGGTGTGGAGAACAGTTCTTAAAGAAAATGAATTTAAAATAAGTAAGAGTAAGACAGAGTATATAGAGTACGACTTTGATAAAGGAGAACACGAGGTAGGTGAAATGACAAGATCAATGACAATAAGCAAAGATGTAATAGAAAAGATGGAAAGTTTTAAGTCTTTAGGATCAGTTGTGCAAAAGAACAAGTGGTATTGACGAGTATGTAAGAAACAGGATGGCATAACGGAACAAGTACAGATAATATGTGACAGTGATAACCTCGTTATAAAAAAAAGTTTCGATGTGAATCTGTTAAATTTCACAATAGTTTGTATCAGACCTAGCAATCAAAATAATTTCATTTTTTTACAGTTTTTTTTATCTAATAAATTTATCTAATCTAATCTAATCAATTAATTAAATAATTAGTATTTTTTATTAGATGTTGAGAAATTCTACCTTTGAAACTTTTATTTAACTTAAAATTTGAATTTTAAAATTAAAAAAAAAAACGGAATCAATCAAATATATATATATAATAATTCAAATAAATAAAGTAAAATAAATAAAGTAAAATTTTAAGTATAGTTATGGTTTTAAAAGCAGTTTCATGACAAATAGTAAGAGGTTATGAACCTTATATCCTTTAGTAGGTGGTTAGGTTTGGAATTTCATATACATTCACGTATTTATAAAAAAGGTTAAACAAAAAAATTGGGGAATTCAAAAAAACTAATTTTAAAACTCTAATCGAGCGTTAAACGACACAAAAATCGCCATTTGACACGTTTGACCCAAAAGTATTTCGTGACATATTTTGTTGTGACATTTTAAAACGATCACAGCCAAACACAAAAAAAAATAAATTTAAACGTGTTTATAGTAAGAGTACGGTAGTTTTTAGTTGTTATATACAATGTAAATGAAATGCAATAATTGGTAAAAATATTTTATTAAATTTTGATGATCTTTTATCATTACAGTTTTAATATTTCATTAAATTTAAACGAAAGAAAAATTTTTTTTTATTTTATTTTTGTAAGGTAACTATTACAAAAACTTTTATATAATGATTGCCAAAAATAAAGTAAAAATCATTAAGTAAAAATAAAGTAAAAATTTTATATTTAAATTACCTTTTTACTCGTATTAAACTTAACTGTGTCATAATAAACATGAAATTTAAGCTTTAAAATTTTTGCATTCTATTAAAATATTACAAATTAAAATAATAAAACAATTTTTTTTTATCATAAAGTGGCCCTGTAAGGGCATTTATACAACGAATGCTAAATTAAATCGTATGAGGGTAGGACAGTGGTCAACTATCTGAGAACCTACAACAATAGCACAACTGAATATCAGTTTTAAGGTGACAACTAAATGGTCCCTAATGTAACACACTACGACCTGTAAAGTTTTGCAAGTCCTTGAGCATAAATAATTACAACCTAAGTGGGGACTTCAGAAATATTATGATTTTAGAACCTCGAGGTTTGAGACAACTGCACCTACTGCTCTCTCTTGTACTGTTTCTGATTATATTTAATTGTATAAATATTTCTATAAAAATATTTCTATAAAAATATTTCCTAACTTGAATAACTCTATTTTTAAAATTAATTTTTCCTTTAGTGTTATTAAAAATGTTATAAAAGTTATAAATTGAGATTTATTTTATAGTTTTTAATAAACTTAACATTTGAAGTTATATTTTTCATTCGGAGTTCTTTTATTGTCAAATAAAAGCACGTAACATGGTTACTATAACAATGTTATCTTTAAATAATTTATATTTCAGTGCGACACAGTAATTATTTTCTATCAATTACACAACAGTAGTTTTCTTAGGCTTTCGGAATACTGTAATAAAATAAAACCATCACGAATACTTTTTTAGTACCAAGTACCTACCAATATATTTTACTGCTTTTTATGCATACGATACTAAATCACATTATCCTACTTGAGAAACATGTAACGCATTCTATAGCTAATCAAAATTACTACTATATATTCATAAGTATTTTATCATATGACCCACATTCTCTTAAATTTAATTAATTGAAAGTTATATTTTGTATTACTATTAAACATGTTGTTGATTTTTAAATTAGTAAAATTAGGAAAAAGAAACGCGTAAAATTTATCGGCCATTCATGTATTCTAAATACACCTATTGTAGTGTGAATCGAATAAGACATTTAATGATTCAGTCAGAATACTATAGATTTTATTTGTTTAATAATTACATTTTACAATAAAAAAGTAATTTGCACCAAACAATATGATAGTAGATGCAGAAATGAATATCGTTGCTGATTCTAAACCTGACCTTATAATTTTCAGATAAATTTTAGTTTTTAAGATAAACGCTAATTAGTGAAAATCAGGTAATTACGTAATTAATTGATTATTAAAAAAAAATATTTTAAAAATTCCATTTAAATATTAATGGGCTATATTTAAGAAATATTTACAAAATTTGAGATCTAAATCATTTAAAACATGATTGGCATTGCATGTTGATTTTGACGTTAATTTTACAAAAATTAAAGCTGAACTTTCCCTTTAACTTTTTTTGTGCTTAAACCTATAACTATAAGTTTTTTAAACTGATAAGAAATTTTATAAGGGCTATAAAATTTTAACTTTTATGTTTCTAGCATAACTAGATACTGAAATAATTTCTGTTATCATTGAAAAATGTAAAAAGCTCAACATTTTGATATTATAACAATATTTTTATAAAAATTATCTTTAATTTTTAAATTAAATATATATCATCACTTAATTTTTGTGAATAAATTTTTTAATTTTCTTAACAGTACTTTAAAATATTTTAATAGTGCTATAGATAGATACGACTAAAATGATAATAGATATATAACTGTCCCAAGTTGGCCCATTTGACTATACTTAAAATAAAAATTATTATTTCATTTTTAAATAAAATGGTGTTGAATATAAGATTTTAATTTCAGATAATTTTTTTTTCTATTAATAATATTTAACGGGTTTTTGACAAGTGTTTTAATTAAATAAATGTTGATATGTGCGCTAGCAATCCAGTTTAAATTAAATTTGTATAATTCAATAAAAATTATTTTTTATTTTAAAGGAAAATTTCTACAAATTTGTCATCAATGAAATAAGTGTATGTAGGATTTTATTCGAAAAAGAAATATGCATTTAAAAAAAATAACGTAACATTTATTTAAATATATCATAATGTTTTAGAAATACTTTAATATCTTCTATATTAAATAAAATATAAACAATATTTTCATAAACATAATTTTTTCCTAATAATATAACTTTGTAATTAATAATAGTAGATCCAACATTTATAACTCTATTAAGAGGACGTCCAAGTACTTATTTTTATACATCATAACATGTCTCAGAAGATCACAGATTCTGGAGAACTGTTAGCCATAGAAATATGATCGGTATAAATTAAATCTGATAAAATTATCTACATTTGATGAACAATATTTGATAAAACCGTTTTAAAAATAAGTTGTATAACTTTGAAAATGTGTCAAATCGTCGTTTTTCTAAACAATTATAACATTATTTTTTATCAGTTTTTTTAAAAACGCTCACGTGATGATTTAAGTAATATTGGCATATTTAATTTGACATATCGATCATCGAACTATGATCACCTGTACTTCAGAATCTATGATATATCGCAGTATGTTTTGTAGTACTTTTCAATTATTTATGACTTATTGTGGCGCAACCTATCGGTGTCATTGTCGATTGATAATATATATGCTATAAAACAAAAAATTTTAAATCCATATATTGATTATTGGTTATTTGTACTTCGGATAGTTTTTACCTCCTAATAATAAGAACTTTTAAATTTTAGAATTTTAACACCTGCTCAATAGTAAATAGGAGTCATTAATTAATCTAAGATCAAAAAAAAATTAAAACATTTTACATTACCCATATGTAGTTGAGTTCTTCTCCATTTTTACAACACAATTTATTTGAATATGACTTTAAAATTACATTGAATACAGCTTTATAAAAGATTGGAGTTTTTTTTTAACTGCAATACTTCGGATAACTCAACATTTTGAACCAAATTGTTTTTGCATCTAAATAAAAGTAAAAAAAAAACTGTATTTTAAATAGAAACCTAAAAGTAATTCAATTAAGGTACTTTCTTCAATTTAAAATTATGAAAATAATTATTTACTTTTAAAACTACTGATAAATAGAAATATTTATATTAATCGTCAAATGTTCGACAACAGTGTTTATTAATTATACTTTAAATTATAATTATTATTATTCAAATGAATACGTTCTCAGAATTTTTCAATGTGGTGCAGACTACTATCAAAATTAATATTATGTTATTTATTTTTTAATGATGCTAATCTTCGGATTATCATTAGCTTAAACATTGCACAAAAATATAGCAATTTAAGTAATTATAATGGTGATAATTGAGTTATTCAATATGAAAAAAATTGATAATAATTTTATAAAACGTATATTCTTTATAACTTCTTTTGATATCAGAATATTTGTATAGACAGACATAGATATTATCTTAGTATGGAAGCTAAACATTTTATTGTGTTTAGAGTTTGGGAAACATTTCGAACTTTAGAGACACTAAAATTTTAATAAACTGTAAATTTTGTTTATGTTTTTCATAAAAATTAATCCGTTCATGTTCCTCGTTCCTTTATTTTTAAGGAAACAGTTCTTAGCTTCATTCCCCCAAAAAAAACTCGTTCCAAAAATACGTTCTTTTTGAAACAAATTCCTTCCCAACATTAAAGGAGAGCTCTAACCTTCTTCTTGTTCAAACACTGGACTTTTTATTGAAAATTCAATGTAATAGTAATAAGTCTAAAAAGTAAAATCTTAAATATTTTTTAAATTATTCTAAACATAAATAGATAGTCAATCCCCTAATTTTTACCATTTTTGAAGAAACACTATACACATATGAGATTTATGTCTAATCGGATATGAGCAATAATGATCTTAAACGATGCTAGGATAAATTATGTTTTTTAATAAGCTAATTCAGTATGTTCTTCATGATTAAATATATTTTTTGAATGAAACTCTAGTAATAAAATTATATATGATTTTATATAATTTGTGGTTTTTATTATAAATTAAAATTAGAATTATTTGTTAAAACCTATTTTAATAAAAAGTGTTTTATTATTTAAATATTTTAATCGCTATTATAATCATTTATCTTACAAAACAAGGGAAAATAAACATATTCCGCAATTAATGGCCATGCTATGAATTCCGATTTAATATTTTTTTGGTTTATTATGGCATTAAGTCCTTTATGATTAAATAATGAAAACAAAAATTATAAAACCAAAAAATGTTTTATTTAATTGACAATTTTTTTATTTACTAAATTTTTTAATAATGCTACAAGTCACGAAATTAGAGAGTTATCAAGTTTTTTTTATCTAAAACGCTTACCATTTCATATCAGTTAATTTTCTCCACCCCAAAAAAAAAAAAAATTAAAAACTGAAACATAATTTTCTAAATTGTAGGGGTATTAATTTAAATATTAAATATAGCCCCCATAATTGCATTACTATAAAGTTCATACTTTTTTAAAAATGTTCACAAATGTATTATGAAGGATGATAAATATAATTAATACATTTTAACCCTAATTTGTCTAATGAACTTGAATAACTCTTAATATAAAATGTATTAAAGATTGCACTGTTTAATAAAATAAAAATAATAATCAAAAAAATAATTATGCGTTCCCATTTTACCTTTAAATAGAGTACTACACTAAATGATGATCAATACGAGATTTAAAATGCAATGTTTAATATTTATCAACAAAAATATATGCAATTTTAATTACTTTAGTCATACTTGTCAAGGTAATTATCCTCTACAGTTTCAAGTATTCCTAGTATTAATATATGTCTTTCTTTCATTGAATCAATTCATTTTTTGTATTACTGTGATTAAATTAAGCTCCTAAGTATAGTTATTTTCATATATTTTATAGGTATATATCAATGATATATACTTTGAACAATATATTAGTTAATTTATATGACGTTTCCTAACATACATACTCACTATGTTTCTACAAAATCTTTTAATAATCAAATTTTTTAACAAGTTTTATAGATTTTTTGTAGTTTGAATTAGTATCTAGTCTACCATATTTTATAATAACTTCTATTATGTGTGCTAATAAAAAAAAATTATCTTTTATTTTATTTTTCTAAGGTCTATATTAATAATGTTTTTATTATAGTTTTAATTTTACTTAATTAATTAGCACAAGTGATAAATTTTTATTATATAATAGTTAATTAATTTTTCTCTTTATATTCTGCACCAAATTGTAAAAGTGGTTTTAATATAAGCTTATATGATAGTGATATTAACATTTCAAATGTTGAAACATCTTTAGCTGAAATCTTTCTTAGCTTCTAACCTCAAGGCTAATGTGCAAAGTCCTGATAATTTACTAGCAATTATACTTTATAATTGTCATTATTTTTTAGTTTATCCTCATTATTAACTTTTTAACATTATTTAAAAATGATAATTTTCTTTCTTATTGGAAATTGAGTTTTATATCTCCAGTTTAGAATTTTAGATTTCATCATCATAATTATCGCCCATTTTCCAAACTCAGCCATGTGACTAAATTATTTGAATGTTAAACTGAACATACCTGTGGTTAAGCAAAATCTGTTCAGTAGGAGCGGAGTATTTTTATGAACATAGAATTATACATTTTACAAATTAATACATTTCAGTTATATATTTAAGATAAAAGGTCCCAGAATAAAAAAAATTATTCAATCATCAAAAATAATCCTTTCACCCCCTCATATTTTTTTAATTAGGAACAGCTCTGAGAAAGTTGAATGAATAAGCTTATTTAAAAATATAGTAAAATAAATACAAACAAATAAATAAAAAAACCTAACATATTTAAAACTACCTAGGATTTCACTGATAATTTTTTTACTTCACTATAGTTATTTTTTTTTACACATTTATATATTGTAAAATTATCCTGATTTTTCAGTTTATTATCGATGTACTATTAATTTTTAACAAGTTCTATAGATTTTTTGTAGATTAAATTAGTATTTATCTATCACATTTCATAATAACTTCTAATACATGTGCTAATAAAAAAAATTATCTTTTATTTTATCTTTCTAAGGTCTAGAATGTAAGTTGTCACATGAATAAAATGAAAATTATCATAATATGATATCTTTTACGTTATAGTGAATATATATTATGCAGTATGTGATTTACGGCGCATTTACTATAAACTTTACAAGAAAAGTGCGATATTTGTGAGATGTGTTTAAATCATAAATGCCATATTTTATTTTGTTCATTAAAAACTACACTATCATAAACTTCATAAACTTTCAGGGTTGATAGTATAAAAGTATTTTATACTACAGGACACTAGTTAAGGGTTAGAAAGATTACAATATCAAAACAATGTGTTACACCATAATGTTATTACATAACATTCATTACCATTATAATATCGAACGTACAAAGTGAAATAATAGAGAAGTTTAGTTCGTTAAAGCTGGCCACTAAAACTTGATTTTTGTTATAACAATAATCTAGCTTTTTCAAATTTTCTAACGGTAATGTACAAAATTCTCAATAATAAATATTTGATCTACTTTTTTAGAAATGTTTAGCCTATTTTTCACCTATAACAGTTTTAAATATCATTAAATTTAAATTAATTTAACTTAATAACAAAACCATGTAAAATGTGCACCTAATTATCTGAATACGAAAATAATATAATTTTCTTAAAAGTTCAAATTTAAAGAGTTATGATCTTGGAAAATGAAATTATTGAGTTATTAAATAATAAAAAATAACATTACTACTTTTTTCTTTAAATGTTTTCCTTTTTTAATTAAAAACTTCTGTTACTTCTGCCAAATTTTAAGTTTTCTGCTCTTAAAATTTATATTTTTTCTGTGTAAATTTGATAATATATGGTTACCATCATATACCAAAATTAATTAAATAAATTATAATGTTTAACCAATTCATAATACAATCTATAGGCGAGCTAATATAGTTAATATTGCTTATCAATCATAATTTATATTCTCCAATTATCACGCAATTATTTCTAACATTACGTATTCTTCTTAGAATTTTTTATTTCAATAAGTCGTTTGATATTAAACCAAACCTAACCATTTCATCTAAGCAACAGAAGATATCCTATTTAATGTTTTATTTCTGAGGAACTTCTCAATATTAATCTAATGGCTAGTTATCATAATATAACCTAGAATTTAGGCCTAGTTAGTCAACGGAGAAGCTAAAACCTAATTTTGTTTTGTGACACTTTTCTTACCATATATTTTCTTTTTATATCATATCTAAAATTTAAGTAAAATACACCCGAGTAGCCAAGCCCTTTAAAACCCAATATACAACATAGATTAGTGGTAGTTTAAATATTTTAAAACAATTTCTCTTTGTCTAAATGTTATAACAGACAAATATTAAAACTTTAAATTTTAAACTTTATTAACTCATTTAGTACTTAATTTTATTTATTTATGCACTTTTTAATTTTTTTTTTGAGTTGTAACATGAAAAAAAATATTTTTTAGATATAATTTTTCCATAAATATACATTTATAATTACTTTATTAAAGCAATTCCCAAATAATTGTATTATACAAGTTAGCAATTATATTCGCAATAGTAAACATTCAACACATTCAATGTTTAAGGTAAACAGCTAATCATATTAAAGTTCACTCAAAGTACGCATAATAATCATTCTTGACGTCTAAACAGACTTGTTAAGTAGCTTATCACAGATGAATTTATATCAAATTAAATGTTCACTAGGTGATGAAACAGAACAACATTTGTCGTGCGTAGAAAAGCCAATAAAATAACATCAACCCAAGTCACAATTGTGTCTCATTTATTGTGTACATTTTTATTTCTCGTTGTTCACTTATGTAATAACCATTACTATTATTAGCTTATGAGATTTTCACATTTCACTAATCTTTCTTTGAACTAACAACTTTGATAAATACTATGT